AGACACGTGGTACACAGTAAAAAAAAAAAAATGCAGTATTATATATAATTGAAGTCCCAGAAGGAGAGAAGGGGACTAAAAAAAAGCAATTGTTGTAGAGATAACCGAGAACTTTCCAAAACTGACCAAAGATATCCACTCACAAATTCAAGAACAGGGAACACTAAGAATAATAAAAACAATGAAAACCACATTGAGGGACATCATATTCAAAGTGCTGAGAATTAAAGACAAAGAAGAAAATCTGAAAAGAATCAAAGAACAAAAAAGAGACACACACCCTTCAAAGTAACAAGAAGACTGATAGCTGACTTTTCAGTAGAAACTATGGAAGCCAGAAGATAATGCTTTAACATCATTAGAACTGAAAGGAAACTGCAACACCAAGTAAAATTATATCAAGTGAAAATGTACTTCAACAGTTAGGCCAAAATAAAGATATTGCCCAACAAACAAACATTGACAGAGTTTGTCTCTAAGATTTACTAAAGAAAAACTTTCAGGTGGAAGGAAGATAATCCTAGATGGAAATAATAAACTTTGGAAAGGAATAAGGAGCTCTAAAAAGAATAAATATGTGTATAATTCTTTTTAAATATTGACTTTTTAAAACAAAAATAAGGCAAGATTTGTGAGAACACAATGTAGGAGTCAAATGTTAAATAGTGTCACAAAGAATGGGAGGATCTAAATGACGTTAATCTATTGAATTACTTGTGAAGTGGCAAAAATGTTGACTTGCAATATATATTGAGAAGCTAGAAAGACACAATAACTTTCTAGGATAAAAGCTACAAGAAAATCCAGAATGGATAACAAAAAGATACTAGAGGAGAAAAATGGAAAATAAATACTTCAAAAGCACGTAGGAAAGGAGGCATAGAAGAACAAAGAATAAATGGGAAAAATAGAAAAAAATAGCAAGTAGAATTAAATAAACTATTTCAGTAATTACAGAAATACATGGACTAAGCACTCCAATCAAAAAAGAAAGAATGGATTTTTTTAAACATAAGACTCCATTATAGGCTCTTTACAATAAAGAGATTTTGAAGTTTAATATATTTATCTGGGAGGAGTAAGGCAAGGGCTTTGGAAATGAAGTGCCCCAGGTTTGAGTTCTAGCATCTAGTTATAAACTGAACCTAGGTAAGTTCTCTGAGCCTCCACTCCCTTATCTATAATAAGAGTAACAATACTTACCGGATGGGGGTTTCATGAGAATAAATAAAATCAATGAGAAAAACCAGGACAGCAACTAGAAAACCCTCAATTAGTGATAGGTATTATTGTTCCTCTCATTACCACCACCCACGATCCCAGTCTCTCTTAGAGCCAGCACTGTCAGTCACTAGCCCCATGACCTTGAGTAAGTACTTAAACTCCCTACACCTTGGTTTTCTCACCTATAGAATGGGTACCTCTCAGAACTGTGAAGATAAAATGAGGTCGTCTGTTAAGACACTTAGCATATTGCCTGGAACACGAGTGCTCTCTAGACAGCAGCTCGGGGGACTATTAAAACATGTATCAGATAATGTCAATCACTTGCTCAAAAGCTTCCAGTGTCTTCCCACTGCACATAGAGTAAAAGCCAAAAACTTTACAATCACCTATCATGTCCCTTAAGATCCCTTACCTCCCTGAGCACATCAACGAGCTAACCCCTTGCTTATTCCACTGACTTCGGGCAGACCTATCTCCTCACACTTCCTCAAACTCGTCCGTTATGCTGCTGTCCCGGGGTTATTGTACTGATAGAGTCTTCCTCCTAGGGAGTTCTTCCCTCTGCAATCACCAACCCAGCCCTCAGATCAGCGTGGCTTTGCCCCTTTGCCACCGATGGGTCTTGCTCAAATGCATTCTTCAGTGAAGGCATATAGGGCTATCCTACATAAGACTGTACCTCCCTCTTTTACCCCACCACACTTCCCTGTCTTACTTCCTTGGTTTACTTTTTCCCTTAGAAGAAATCACCACTTAATATTCTTTCCCATTAAAATTCTTTATTAGTTCGTTATATGTTTTCTCCCACGCCAGTATAAGCCTGTGAAGGCAGGGATTTTTGTCTTTGACCATTACTGTAACCCATAGCACCTAGACAACCATCTGGCACAAAGTAGGCACATAAGGAAGACTTACTAAGTGAAAGAATTTAAAAATTAGTGACCATTTCTATTATTTACGTGTCTGATCATTTTCTCCTCTTCTTCCTTCTTTAGTAACCATCGGTGGTATTGAGCCAGGTCTTCACCAATGACATAGCTCAGCTTAGTCCTCACTTCCTCCAGGCAGTCTCCCTTGAATTTCCCACATCAGTTCCTCCTGTTTTGCCTCTCCCATCGTTGATCTCTGTTGTGTGATTATTTGGTTTAAGTCTATCTTTTCCCCATTGGTAAAGACTTCATCGATTATTGCTCACCTCTGTATTCCCAACACTTAGTACAGTGCTTGGCACATACAAAATACTCAACAAATAATGAATAAATAATGGAATGAATGAATGATCAAAATGAGCTCGTGATTTATTTTGCCTGCTGTAAAACCTATTTTGCATGTTACTTGATCCCTCTGGCTGTGCTATGTTTAGTGTTTGTTCATGATCAGTAAGCTTTGGCATGTTTAATGTGCCATTCCCTCGCTGACACTGAACTGTGTAACTTAAGCTAAGCTGGGCTCTGGTCGGTATTCACAAACATTTCTCATTAGTTTGTATTCAGAGTAAAAGATGAAAGAGCAATAGGTTGCCAGTTAACAAAAATTCATTTGCTGTTGTGCAGATCTGTGAAAGCATCCAATTAATATTACACATGAATATTTCACAATAAGAAGGATCCTGGAAATTAGTCTAGTAATAAAAAGAACAAAGTGAAGATAGATGCATTCTTCTTTATTGGGATGGAGAGATTATGGCAACCATAGTGTAGGCTAGAGGGAGGAATGGTCATTTATTGGGAGCCTGTCACATGCCAGATGCCATTCAAGATACTTGTATTTATGATCCCATTGGGTCCCAACTGTGAGTGTGGTGGAAACGAAAAAATACCAGTGAATATGGACATGTATGTATGTATGTATATACGTATGTGTGCTTTTATGTGTCCATATTTGTGGGTATTGAAATTAACAGGCTCTAGTCTTGTCTCGGCTTCATGTTAGCTGCTCAAGCTGGAGCAGGTCAATTCATGCCCCTGAGCTTCAGTTCCTGCATTTGTAAAGTGCAGATCATAAGGCCTATCTCACAGAGCTAGTATTAAGATCAAATAAAATAATAGGTATGAACATTCTTTGAAATATTGAAAGCAAATGTGTGTGTGCACGTGCATGTGTGTGTGTGTGTGTGTGGTGTTATAAGGATCAAAGCAACAATTTCTGTCTTTGGATATCAAAATATTTTTCCTGGTGAAAGCTACATGTGGGGTGAAGCCATATTGTATCAGCTTATTACCCATTCCCTTATTGCAATTCAATCTAATAAATATATTAAATATTTGCAACATGCCAGACTCCACAAGGCCATGGAGAATAAAATGAACTAAACATGATCCTGCCTCGAGTTCACACTCGAAAGGAGGAAGCATATGGATATAAAAATAACTAGAAGATTCAAGGCAGAATATGCATAATTCTATAGATATTAAGAAATCACACCCAGTAACTGATACAATAAATAGATATTGAATAACAGCTGTGGGCCAGGCACTGTTCTAGAACCCAACAAAAGAGTGGAGAAGAGAAATTTTTTTAAAAGCCTGGTTTCAAGGGGCTTCCGTTCTCGTGTGTGAAAAGGGAGAATAAGCTCATAACCGAAAGGATAAACAAACCAATCTCAGGTCACTGCTGTGCTGCAAATAAAATAGGGTAAACTGATAATGAGTTCTGGAAAAGCAGTGGTCAGCTAAGGGTTCTGTTATCTGAGCTGAGGCGGAGGCGGAGGCATTTTGAGGAGAGCAGGCGCTGGGACTCCTTGGGCTGGGCCCTCAGAAAGAAGGCTCCGCATGAAAGCGTGCTCTGCCCAAACCGAGGGAAGTGAGAGAGTAGAGGAGAGAGGAGCAAGGGTGGATCCCGGCCAGACCAGACTACAGACCAGACACCCCATTCTGGTCCTGGTGAGGAACTAGGGCTCTAAGTGAAGCACAATGCGGAGGCAAGGAAACCTTTAGAAAGAGAAGGGATGGGATCTGGTTTACATTTTAAAGAGCAGTCTGGTTGCTCTGGGGAGTCGGGGTGGGGGGTGGGGGCGGGTGGAAAGACCGGATTTTTGCAATCCAGATAGAGGATAAGGAATGGTGACTTGTAACTAAGCTAGAGGCCGGCTAGATGTGGGGAAAGGGACAGATGCGGGATATCTTTTGGTGGTAAACCAACAAGAATTTGAAGGGGAGGAAAAAGGTTGTTTCTAAATGAGGAACACTTTGGTGTCTATCTTTAGTTCAAAATCCTTTTATGTCAAACAATACATTAATTCTATAAATATACCTAATGTACATTTAAGCTACTATTAAAATTCTTTGGCTCTCTAAATATAGTACATGCTTATTAAAGAAATTATAAAAAAGAGAAAAGCAAAAATTAAGAAAAACGATATAAATACATATATAATATAAAATTCGCTATATATATTTCTAAGACTGGAATGCCTACATTTTTCCCCAGAACTATGATTTGATCTTGTGTTTCTGAGGCGGTTGTGCAATATCAGATTGTGCCTTTTTTTCTGTAGCATCTTTTGAAAACTGAAAACCATTTAACAACTTCAACACAAGCACTATGTGTGGACATTTCTTCATACATGGGAGATGACTTCCACCCACTGGGGCAAATGGGCCTGAGAACACCCAGTAGTCCTAGCACGTCGGGGGCTGGATGGTGCACACTTCCATCTCACCAAGGCCTTAAATACAACGCGATCAGATTGCTGTAAATCCATCCCCATCCGTGCTCCCACGGGGGTGGAGGGAGGTTGCCGCTATTTACAGCAACCATTGTCTGAGCTAGGACTGAGTAATGCAGTCCCTCGGGGAAAGTAGGCTGGAAACCTTTGTCAAGGGGCAGTCAAGCCCTGTAAGGCTGTAAGGTGGAAGCGGCCCGCGTGCACCCTGCATCGACAGGAGAGCCCCCTGATGATTGTTTGCGTTTGGGGCCCCCTCTGTTTAAACACTAAGGAGTCCATGGAGGTAAGGAATGGGCGGGAGCTGGTCCTTGGGGGTCAGGCCGGGGAAGGAGTCTTGTAGACAGCCGTGGGAGCACCGGGTCAGGAGGTACCCTCCCACTCCCCACGTCGTGCGGATCGCAGGCTGGGTGACGCCGCGGTCAGCCCGCGGGCCTGAAATGTGGCAGGCAGCCGCTCGCGGCAGCATCCTCTCCCCTGCGGCGCGCACTAATGGATCTGTGCGTCCTAAAAGAGGAAGATAATGCCGGGTTTAGCTTATAAATAGCTGGTTGTACGTTCGCCCTGCGAAGCATTGATTGAGAGAGCCGAGCTGACTCTTGATCTAATTTTAACTTACATTTTAGCACTCACCCTCTTCGCCTCCCCCACGTTGTTCCGGGCGGTGGAGCTAGGGCCACAACTGTCTCTGTCTCATGCGGCCGCCAGGGGGCGGGCCACTCGCGTCCCCGCCGCCCTGCCCGTCTGGCCTCTGTTTACGCAGACATACAATGCCGGCCTTTATTGGGTCTGAAAAATAGGAGTTTGATTTTCCTGCGCCGGGATGACCTCATCACTCATGAAAGTCAGAGGAAAACGGGGAATTGGATGACAGGCAGTCAGGAAAATAAAGGTTGCATTTCACCCCCTCCCACGTCACCACCTACACAGAGCACTGGGGCTGTACTTCTGTTTTAACAACCACTTTGCGGAAGTCGGGAGTGGGGGAGGGAAGGGGGCAGGAGCGGAATGTTAAATTCCTCTTGGTACCCGGGCGCGGGGTGTTCTGCGCCTTCTGTTTACAAGGTTAATATCACCTACGCTCTGCCTCCAAGGGCTCTGTACTGAACTGTCACCAAATGCCGGGGCTCCAACACTCTATAGGAAAGAGTGACTTGACTTTCAAATATTATTAGTTATTCCCAGGCGCCTGGGTGGCTCAGTCCTTAAGCGTCTGCCTTCCGCTCGGGTCATGATCCCAGGATCGAGCCCCGCATCGGGCTCCCTGCTCAGCAGGAAGCCTGCTTCTCCCTCTCCCACTCCCCCTGCTTGTGTTCCCTCTCTCGCTGTCTCTCTCTCTGTCAAATAAATAAATAAAATCTTAAATATATATATATTATTAGTTATTCCTAAACATGATTCTTCTTGCCGAGGTGTAAATAATGGTCATCAGCAATTTTATACTGCTAGCTTGGAAATTTCAGATGTGCATATGGCTTCACATGAATAGTGTGGGAAAGTGAAGCTTATCACATTTTTGTTACCACATTTTGGGACCACGAAGTATAGTAGGGTCAAGTATATGTGGAAACAGAAGACCAAGAATGATGCCCCCCACTCCCGCCAAAAAATTCCCCAGACCTAGAACTCAGCATTTCGACTTTCCTTCTGGGGTTGAGTGAAACATATTGATAGAAGCTAATGTTTATCAAGCACTTGCTATGTGTCAGGCATCCTACCAGCCATTTGACATGTGTTGCCTCATTAAATCCTTAAGGCAACCTATCAGTCACGTTCACATTCTATAGTTGTCCCATTCTATAATTAAAGAAATTGAGGGGAGGTTACTGGCCCAACGCCAGGTAGCTAGCAAAGGGCAGCCTTGGTAGTGTGACCCCAGAGCCCTTGCTCTTTAGCACCATGCTATATGTTTTGAAGACATGTCTACCATTGGCAAAGTCTTAAACTTTCTGCATCCCTAAGCAAAGAAGGGTGTGTGTGAACACAGGATGGCGACTCTCAAACGAGGCCTGCCTGGGCCAAACCAAAAGGCTCTTCATTGAGGGAGCTCTTGAAAAAGTGAAAAATGAACAAAGACATTCTCATCTGAAGAATAGCTTATAAGCTGGAAATAACGTGGCCAGAAGAAGGAGACTTTCACTAAAGGGTCTTCTCTTGGCCAGTCATTCAACAAAGATTTGCCCCCAGCGACCAGGCCATGATGGTGGGCACCAGGCTCCTAGAGGAAGAAAACAGACATGAATCCCCTCATGGAAACTCATAAAGAAGGAGATTGTAAGTGAACAACAAAACACATAATTATGATATGTGACGATTGTAAAAGGGACATGACTTATTTGGATTTGGGGAGGGAGAGAAAGGCCGGCCTGTCTGAGGAAATGATGTTCAAGCAGAGAGCTACATGGTGAGTGGGAATTATCCAGGCAGGGGATGGGAATGAGCACATGACAGACAGACAGGGAAGGTTTTGAGGAGGAAATGTGATGAATGAGAGAGGAGTCTGCAGAGCTCAGAGAGGGTCTCATAAACCCAAGTGAGGATTTCGAGCATCATCTTAAATGCAATGGGAAGACCTCTTGATGAGTTTGAAGCATGAGAGTGAAGTGATTTGATTTATATTTTAGGAAGAATGCTTTGGGATGGGGAGAATGGGTGGGAGATGGGGCAAGGGGACAGGCATGGGGACACCATCAGGAAGTTAGTGGAATAGCTCAGGGGAAAGACAACGGTGGCTTGGACAAGGCTCGGCATACTGAACACGGAGAGAAACGGATGAACTATTTGCAGGCTTGGTGACGGATGGATTCCTCAGGAGAACTGAGGAATAGCGAGGGGTCAGGGGCCTCTCTCGGTTTCTGGCTTGAGGCACCAGAGTGCATGAGGCATCCTTTACACAGCCAACAGACACGAGACAAGGAGCCAACTGGGGCAACAACTGGTTTGGGACTTTCTTATTTGAAGAGCAAAGCTGCTGTCCATCCAGACAGCAAGGAGACTTTGAAAGGAAGCTTCGGGTCATTTGTCATTTCCCATGGAAATGACCTTTTTGTTGTTATCTCCACAGTCAAAAAGGTAAGTCTTAATATTGTTGCAAGTAAAATGGAATAAGAAAACAAGGAGGCAGTGATATATGTTTTTCTTTTGTTATAAAACCAGGAGTGTGTGAGCTCCAAAGGAACCTGAAGAACCAACCAGCAACAGCTCTTGGCTGCAATAGGATTTGCAGGGTTACCCAGTAGCCCTACGGTTTCCAGGCCCACATATGAAGAGAATCATGGAGCATCAGAGTTGGAAAGGATCGTACTACACCTGTTAGGAAACCAAAGATCCAGAGAGATGAAGTGACTTGTCCAAAATTACACAGCAAATCTGCAAGTGAACAGGGAAAAAAAATAGATCTTCTGGTTCTTTCCTGTGCCACTCTTCCTCTCGAGGGTTAAGGCTTTCTCTTAGACACACAAGCCTTTCATAAGGAGAGATTACTGGACTACTGTTACACTTTCACCCAAATTCCATGAGACATGCACACCTCTAGAGTCTTCCTACCATTCTGCAATTCTCCAGATCAAGAACCCCAACTTCCCGCCTCATAGTTTGGCATCTGGCCAGGCAGTGCTGTCTGAAATACCAGCTCCTGGCAACAGATCATTCTTTCCTGAGTCAGAAGAGGGGGGATGGATTATTTATTTCCTTTTGGGGACCAGTAGAATGCACTCTTGCCTTTGTGGGAGGCTCCTAATTATAAAGGAGGAATGTGTCAACTGCTCTGCCCAGACCCTCTACCTACAGAGATCTGCTAAGTTAATGAAGTAAACACTAGCTGCTCCCCTCCTTCCCCATTCTATTTTCTTGTCTTCTTTCTTTGAAAATTTTAGAATTGGACTGGAACTGAAAATCATTATGTTATGCTAAAGAAGCACTTCTTCTTTAGAGTCATGGAAGTGTCTGGTGTTTTTCCTAATGTATGTGGAAATGTGAGATGCAATCAATTGACCAACCACTTTGACTTATCAAGAGTACAAATATGCTTCAAGTTTGCTATTACCAAAGCAAAGCAAGGAAGGTGAAAATGGTTGAAATCCATTTCTCTATCACACCATTTTGAAATCAAGTTTTTCACAGTTATGATTAGTGGGGGTATTGAATAATTATGAATCCTAGGTTCATAATTAGGCATAAACAGTCCTAACTGCTGAGATTCACTAATTCTTTTTATTTTTTTTTCTCTACTATATTTTTATTATGGTGAAATTCACATAACATAAAATTAACCATTTTAAAGTATAAGTAAAGTAAAGGCACTGAGTTCAACTACCTCCTCTAGCTATATCCCAAACATTTTCATCACCCCCAAAGAAAACTGTGTTCACTGTACTCTTGAGCGAGCAAAGCAAAGAGCTTTGAAGTCTCATCTGAGGGCTACGATTAAGTCACTCAGATTTGACCCTGGGCAAATCCCCAATCATTTCTGGACCTCAGTTCCATCATTTAGAAAATAGGGAAGTTTGATTAAGATGACCAATTCCTTTTAATATCTTCAAGTGGTAAATATTTATGTGTGTATAAATCTTTTTCCCCCAGTTTTATTGAGATATAATTGATATGCAGCACTGTGTAAGTTTAAGGTGTATAGCATAATGATTTCAAGTGGTAACTATTACTGTTTTTATGTATACAGTGTTCTTCTGAAATGCTTATTTTATTTATTTATTTATTTATTTATTTATTTATTTATTTTTTTTTTAGAGAGGGAGAGAACAGGAGGGGGTTGTTGAGGGGCAGAGGCAGAGGGAGAGAGAGAATCTCAAGCAGGCTCCATGCCTGGAACCCAAAGTGGGGCTCCATCTCATGACATTGAGATCATGACCTGAGCTGAAACCAAGAGTCAGACGCTCAACTAACTGAGCCACCCAGAATTTCCAGAATTATCACGGTCTCTTTCTATTACAAGGCCAGTAATATTTAATGTCAGTAATTTTCTAAAGAAGAATACACTCCAAACTATGATTTGCAGAAAAGCATCTGATGGCATTTCTCAGCAGAGATTGACATTTATGCAAGAGAAAACAGCCGTAATGATTTTTCAAATAAACAACTAGGTGAAAACAATGGCATGAGGAGATGGTTATGAATCATTCCTACAACATAGAGTTTAATCAGAGGGCTATCCATAATTTAATCAAATCACTTAAATGCTAAAAGTTGCTTTAGTATTCAGTGATAGTTCCTTTAAACAATTCTTCCCACGTTGACTAAAGGAGGTTTAATTTTAAAATTTATACTTTTCTGGATTTTTTATTATTTCTACAGTGCATATATGTGACTTTCATTAAGAGAAAAAAAAAAAAAGGAAAAGCATTAAAGAAAATTCATCCCATATAAAAAAGACTACCTCAAAACCAGAGAATTGTTGCATCATGGGTGGATGCTCCTTTGATATTAATCTCCAACGAAAGTCATTTGGGGCAAGATGCCTGGAAGAACAGGGAGGGTCAGCCATGTAAACAATAGGAGGAGCTTGAGAGTTAGGAGTGCTTTAATCAGGCTGTCTTTAAATAGGAAAAACAGTTTTTTTCTTTGAAAAATAACAGTGATTTGGGATTTGTACACTAAGATATACACTGAAATGACACTTCTTTGAGTTATTTCTCCAGTAGACGCTGGGCTTTTGCTGGCTCTGAACATGGGCATTAAACTGAGGGATGTCTATCAGGGAGGAGGCATCCAGTCTGTAACTATGGAATACAATGACTTAACTGTCCTAATTAGATGTATAGTCCATGGCCTTGACCTTGTTAGGAAACAGGAACTCTAACTGCCCACCAGGAAGCAAGAACATTGATAACCCAACTCTGTGAGAGCAGACCTTTCCCAACCAGACATGGGCCAGGGATGGCAGTTTCCTTCTGGAGGTTGTAAGCAAATGAATTATTAAGGACAACTCTCTCAATAAACAAATAGAAGCTTTTTTTTTTTTTTTCTTTTCATGCTGCTTATCTGGCTTTGGCAAGCTGTTCGTTGATGAGAAAACATGTCTTGAACAACAAGGTTTTCGGGAGGTCCCATTCTTTTCACGGCCATCTTGATGGCCTCTGACGCGCTCAAGCATAAATATGGTGCTTTCACCATCTCTGCCCGCTGTGCACACATGTCCTGTCTTTTTTTGGTAAGGAATTGAATTTGGTGTCTTGATACTAATTAAGGAAAGAAGACTGGTACTGAAAATGTTTAAAAACTGTTTTCTATTGTATTCAGACAGAAACACCTTTCGCACTCTTCAGCCATCTGACTTGCCACTCCCTTTTATGCCTTCAGTTTGGAGCTGTGGTTCCCCATGCTTTTCCTGTAGAAACCCGCACAGGCACGGGCCACCCACTCTCCGGATCCAGAGTTAAGACAAGCTGCAGATCACTTGCCTTCCTCCTCCTCTCCTGCTTCTGTCCCTCTCTGAAAGCACGCTGGAATGGTTGGGACTGAGGGTGACCTTAGCACCAGGATAATCTTAGATCCACTCCGATTTACCTGAGAAGTACCCCATGTGCAAACCATAGAACTTTCTTACTTAAAACAAATTGCCTGTGGCAAACTTCACAACTGACTGGGACAGTGTGTCACAACACTGTGCTTGGGAATTAGAGCTATAATCTATTCCCATTTTCAAGATGAAGTGAGGGTCTACAGGATGTTGCTGCAGAGGGCTCTGAGACCACAGCACAATATCTCACGTTCAGAGTAGAAGTTTCTCCATGAGTCAGTGTTTAATCTGTCGCAGAGAAAATAAACTCTGTAAGATCTCACGCAAATTAACAGAAATACAATGTTCAGAGACACTAGAACAGTCTAGGTGATGTTGATGCATATTAATACAGAGAGAATGCATTGATCAAGACGCTTACCCTTCTCATGATAGAATTTCCTCTTTTTTAAAATGGAAAGAAGGGGCACCTGGGTGGCTCAGTAAGTTAAGTGTCGGACTCTTGATTTCAGCTCAGGGTCATGATCTCAGGGTCGTGAGATCGAGCCCCATGTAGAGCCATGTCAAGGGGCTCTGTGCTCAGCGCAGAGTCTGCTCGGGATCCTCTCTCCCTCTGCCTCTGCCCTTCCCAAAGCTCACGTGCACACTCTCTCTAAAATAAATAAATAAATAATAAATAAATAAAAATCTTTAAAAAGTAAAATGGAAAGAATAACAGTACTTATTACCTCATAGGACTGTTAGTACTGGTAAAGTACTGTAAAGGCTGCTTGCCATATAATAATCTCACAGTAAAGGTTAACATCATTGCTATTACTATCATTATGTGGGCATGGCCATTTTTGTGTTAAACTAAGGATAAACTCCCACACTGCTAGTGTTGCTAATTCTACTAGTGCAGAATTCACCCTAACTATGACATAATAATGAAAGGGAAATAGGTTTATGGCCATTTCTTTTCCTTTTCTCTTCTCTTTTTAAGTAAGCTCCACATCCAGTGTGGAGCCCCACACGGGGCCTGAACTCATCACCCTGAGATCAAGACCTGAGCTGAGATCAAGAGTCAGAAGCTTAACTGACTGAGCCACCCAGGCGCCCCTGTGACCTTTTCTTTTAGCCAGTCTGAATCATCACTGAGCCAGAATAGAGGTACAGATAGATAGAAAAATAGCTTTTAAAAATGGTTGATTTCTGGGCGCCTGGGTGACTCAGTTGGTTAAGTGACTACCTTTAGCTCAGGTCATGATCCTGGAGTCCCGGGATCGAGTCCCGCATCGGGCTCCCTGCTCGGCAGGGAGTCTGCTTCTCCCTCTGACCCTCTCATGCTCTATCTCATTCTCTGTCTCAAATAAATAAATAAAATCTTTAAAAAAAAAATGGTTGATTTCTAATGGAAGTGTAAATTGGTATGAACTTTCTAAAGGGTGTTAAAAGCCTTAAAATGTGAATATCCTATGTCCCAGCAATTCCTTAACTGTGAATTTATCTCATGGAAATAATTAGAGATGTGTGAAAAGATACATGTGCAAGACTGTTCATCAAATTTATTTATAACACCAAAAAACTGGAAGAGCCTTCATGTCCAACAATAAGCTACTAGTTAGGTAAAATATGTACATTTATATGAAGGAATGCTGCATCGACGTTAGAAAGTATGTTGTAGAAAACTATATATTGACAGGGACAAATGTTCTGGACATATAGTCCAGTGAAAATAGCAGATTACAAAACAGTATATTATAAAAATACTATTCGTATATAAATATAACAACTGGACTGAGGTGTACCAATGCAAATATTTTTAAAATATTTGCCATGTTCTCAAAACTTCTTTGAATCTTCCCATCTACCCAGAGCATGCATCTTAATTTTTGCCTATCCTTGTTTAAACCTTATTAGTCTAGTCTGCTGATTTGTTTAATCTAATCTGGTTACTAAAGTCTTAGGCCCTCTTGGTTGACTATTCTGTTAAAATTCAGTATTATTAGCTGTCACTGTTCATAGTTCCAAGCTTCCTGTCTATGAACACTGTCCATCCTACCATCGCCAACTCGGAGCATAGCAGAGAAGAAAGAGAAATCCTCTTTTTGTGCCTGCCTGAGAGTATCAGTAGTGGGTGGATGACCTGGTCCTGATCTGATGCTACTTTATTTTTGTCGCATCTGCTGCTCTGGAGTCTCCGTGTAAACTATATGTGTGGTTTCCTGAGGACACATTTTGTTTCCCGCTAATCTCCTCATAGAGCCCTCCTTTACCACAGAGGGGCGGCTGTGTATCCCTTTGGCCCCCACCCAGGAGGCTCTACACCTCCTATCTGCTAATGTGTGCTCCCATCGGGCACTGGGATCTTCCTCTATGCCTTCTGAGAGTTACGGAGAGCTGAGAAAGGTGTGCCCTCTTCCTCCTCTCTCTTCCAGGAACACTACAAAATCTCCTTGAGCCCTACTGGCATAGATTACTC